TTACAAACGATGCTTGGAATACATTGTGGGTCCATTCATTAAGTGAATTTTCATGTTTTAAGTAGCGTGATTCTGATGACAAGTACTGGCTAAATGTCGAAACTTCCATAAGATTTCTGACTGACTCAGGTGTGTACATAAATGATTCAAAGTATTGTAATCAGTACTGCAAACTGCATAAATGTGCACCTACCTTTAAAACACAAGCGTTATTGAAAACTAGATGCAGTAAAGCAAACCAAGTATTGGGACAGCTAGCCCCCCTCTTACAGCATAAGACAATCCCAATCAGCACAAAGAGACATCTTAGTCAAAGCATATTAATTACAACTCTGTGCTACCAGTGCCAGACATGGTCACTCACAACAAACCATAAAAGAAAATTAGTAACCACGAAAATGAGATGTCTGAGAAGGGATGTAGTGGTGACCATAAGAGATAAGATCAGGAATGAGATCATATGAGAACAAGTCGGCACAGAACCAATTCTGGATTACATACAAAGACAGCAAGTGAAATGGTTTGCCCACTTAGAGAGAATGCCTCGTGACACCATACCATACAAAGCATACATGGAAAGAGAAGAAGGACGTAGAGCACGGGGTAGACCAAGAACAAGATGGAAGGATAACATCAGAGAAACTCTACAACAGCACGATATGCCTATGGTCGAGGCAGCCAGAAGAGCTAGAAACAGAACCTTTTATCTCCCTCGACACCCACAGCGGTAAAAGAGGAAGTGAAGAAGATGAAGAAGAGAAGAAGAAGTTATCGAAAACAAGTGGTTTTCGATTACGCTGAAACTGTAGGAGCGGTGCAATTTACTCTGAAATTCGTGACGTTAGCGCGGTTCTTTGCTATTTCAACACACAATGTTTCGATGGAACTTGTCTTCTGTAATCTACGCCGAATGGCCCAATGACTGAACTCGTCTTAGTGTTGTTTGAATCAAGTCAATTTCACTTTTATCATTTAATTTCAAATATTTTATTGGCAGGCAATTGTAAAGATTAGGTAAATAGAAAATTATACGTGGGACACAATTTCAATGGAATTTAATGTTAGATAGTGTCCTCATTTCGGATGATCAAAATATGGCAACCCTAGACATCATATAATAGTTTTAACAGCTGTAGATATGTGGTTTTTCTATAATATTATCAACATGTAGCATGTTCTTTGCAGAACGTCGCTGTCATCACAGGCTGCCTGAAAGAAACTCCATCTTTCGGCAGTTCTCCCGCCTCATGCACTGTCCTATCCAAAGGTGTCACCTATAACCTGTGCTCATCTTCGTGCTGGTCGGCCCCTGCCCGTCTTTCCTGGTATCTTTTGTTATTATTTTGTTCCTAGTCTGCTTGACACTCGGTATGGCCGAAATATTTCATTTCCGAAACAAGATGCTATTTACTAGCCAACATTCCTGATATTTAGATCTTTCAGGTTTCTATAAAAGTGTCTGAAATATCGTGACAATAAATGAAACAAGTAGCGGGGTATTGGGAGCTGCAGGTGTCACATGATCACGTATCAAAATGGAAGGGAAATGCTAAATAAGACAAAGAAGACTCGAGAAAATCACAAGTACAAGTCCCAGGGCATTTACCAGACGTAACAGCTGAAGACAACAAAGAACTTTCAGCCTCTGACTTTTGACTGATTACTTTATGAGTAGTGTGTACTTTTGCAGGTGCAATGCCGCTTTTCATATTTTTTTTTTTTTTTTTTGCACCAATAGTGAGCACCTGCAGTTCTGGCTGACACATCTGGCGGCTGCCTTATACATTTTTATTTTGCGTGTGCAAGTGTCAAGAATTTGCTGACAAGTTTTTCATCAGTTTTCAAAGGGTACAATGAAGGACGATTTAGTGTGATCTCCATTATTGCAGAAACGGAGCAGTGATTGGTCGACCCTTCTGTCGCGATGCTGGAATCTCCATTAACGACTTTAGTCAGCTGAAGAGATGGGATAGAGTCATTAGTCTTGTGTGGGCAAATAGAAATTCAATCGAGGCAGAGATAGAGAGATAGAGAGAGAGAGAGAGAGAGAGAGAGAGAGAGAGAGAGAGAGAGAGAGAGAGGAGGGGGGGGGCGTGTGATGGGGGTGGGGGGGGGGTGGGTAAGTCTTTACCACCATCACTGAAATATAAGAGACACTTTGAGCCAAGGGAATGTATTTCTTGAAAATCCACTGACTCACTAACGTGAGCCAAACGTTGGTACTTCTTCTTCTTCAGCATTCCAAGCCCTTGAGGTTCATTGCTGCAGATATCACCCGCCTCCATTCATCTCTCTGGATAGCCTTCTCTCTCCAGTTGGTGACATCAAGTGTTGGCAGGTCTGTCTGGATATTATCTCTCCATCGTCTTCTTGGTCTACCTCGTGGTCTACGACTATTCATCTCCCTTGTGTATACATTTTTAACTTCTCTGTCTGACATTCTATCAAAATACCTCAACCATTTCAGTATATTAGTTCTCATGATGCCAGTGATCAGTGGTGATTTAAACAGATTATCACTTTCCTTGTTGCTTCTCACTCTCCATTCCCCGCTGTTTGCATCTTTGATGGGTCCAAAGATTAGTCGTAAGACACTTTTTTTTTGAAAGCCTGTAATAGGGCTTCAACTCGTGCTATGATACAAACAGGCGGCCTCATCAGGCGACACCGTAAAGAGGGTTGGGGGGTTGGGGGGGGGGGGGGGGCATAAAATTAAAATACAGTTGTAACTTTTGTTCTGATAGCGCGAAGCTACTAGGGACGGCAATTCGAAGACTTGCATCATGAAGAGGAAATCTATCGCACGGAACTATTGGAGGGTCACCCAAATAGGACAGATCGTTGATGACAGGACGCATGACAGAGCTGGTCTCAAGGACCCTTTTCCACGGCTTTGGTTGTATTAGGCATATAGGGCTGGACCTATATTTTATAGACCAGTCGGCACTTGGGGGGGGGGGGGGGATGTGGTCAGCATCACGCCTTTCATTCCTTTCATTCCCATGACATTGACCTCTCACTTTTTAAGCCTAGGTCTACCTGAAAGGCAAGGTCCTTATTTAAGAAAATGCCCAACACTGTTCAGAGCTGAACCTACAACCTTCGGATCCGTAGGCGAGCGTCTAGCCGCTGCACCATGTCGACTTCCTCATAGGTGATGTAGATGGAATCAATAAGGCGCACAGAAAGAACATATAAGGGAGTGTATCAGGTTCTGCTTTGTTGCAGTAATTTCTTATTCAGAGAGTGATAGTTGTCTCTCTTTGACACTCCAGAAACGGAGAACAATAGATCATCCTCATCCCATAACACTACGTGACGTTGGGTCACCAGTTTCTGTTGACTGTCTGATCAACTCTCTCCTCCTTTGGCGGTCAGTACCAAGAGATACAAACAGCAATAGTACAATGCATTTTGAAATTGGCCATGGGAAAAAGAATAGACATAAAGTAATATAATTCTGCAAGCTACAATCATTGTATGGAAAAATCTCATAAAACGTATGGCGGGTACTGGAATCTCATCGGTTGTTTTGGAGTGATGATGATGATAACGTGATACTAAGTAGAATGAAGATGTTGCATGTAACCCCTTTAACCACGAGAATGAGTTGTTTTTTTTTTTTGCAGTAATTATGTCAAATATATTTTTGCTTCTTACAAAAGTTTGCTGTTGTATTTTCCTCCATATAAAGATTGAAAAGATATAGTTTCGTCACTCATCGACTGGGTTGAGGGAATGGTACGACACTGTGAGCTAAGGATTTAATTAAGAATGCTTTACAACTGAGCCTAACGTGGTCTGTGTTGTGAACTGCACAGACAGAAAAAAGGATATTGTACTGTTGCCAGAGAACTTGTGGTGCCTTTCTAGTGTACGACTGTTTGTGTTGGCATTTCTGACAACTGCCTTATGTATTTAATGCGTGTGTATGCAATTGTCTGCCGACACTGCAGTCTGGTTCAATATATTTTTCTCTTAAGGGACAGTGATAGACATTCTATGTGGTTTTCGTTGGCACAGGAACGGTCAACAGTGCGGTGTCCCATTTGCATTGAAGCTGGAACTGCCTTTCTCAAAGACCCGACACGATGAATATCCTAGTAACTAGTAGCGTTCACTTGAGGCGGTTAAAAATGTCTAAATTTACTGTGTATCAAGTTGCCTACATTAACCCATACTGCGCCAGTTCTCACTGCCTCATCGCTGACTCATTCTTGCCTAAACCTACACAAAGATTATTGTGACCACTTCTTATCCTAGAACGAGTTGGACTAGAAAGAGTTAGTGTTAATCTAAGTAGCTAAGTAAATCATGCCAGACAACACCCAGAGGTATGCACCCAGAGGTATGCACCCAGAGGTATGCACCCAGAGGTATGCACCCAGAGGTATGCACCCAGAGGTGTGCACCCAGAGGTATGCACGCAATGAGACATGTTCAGTAATAAACACATGCACGTTGGATGAAATGAGTCAGAATGTCCTTATTTTCTGTGATGACTGTAGGGTCTTGATAACTGATGAGTGGACATTCATTGGACTGGACCTTGGAAAGTGATCAATGGACAAGTGCCGGACTGAGCTTTGGAAACTGATGAATGGACGTGTACAAGACTGGACCGTGAAAACTGATGAATGGACGTGTACAAGACTGGACCGTGAAAACTGATGAATGGACGTGTACAAGACTGGACCGTGAAAACTGATGAATGGACGTGTATTAGACTTGACTGTTGAACCCGATGAATGGACAAGTGCCGGACTGCGCTCTGGAAACTGATGAATGGACAAGTACTAGACTGGACCCTAGAAACTGATGTGTAAACAAACAATTTGATCTAGAAGATAAGTTGACAAGCAGGAATGCCTTTTTGATCTGGTAAATCAGCCAACACTGTGCTTGTAAAGCAGGTTTTACTGCAGCTGATTGTTTATTGCACAGACGATTGAGGCTCGGCATCTTTAACTGTCAGTTCTCCTAATGCCAACATTCATCCCTTAGGTTTTTTTTTTTTTTCTGTCTTCTGGTTGCTGATTTCTGCCTTCTGGTTGCTGATTTATGTCTTCTGGTTGCTGATTTCTGCCTTCTGGTTGCTGATTTATGTCTTCTGGTTGCTGATTTATGTCTTCTGGTTGCTGATTTATGTCTTCTGGTTGCTGATTTATGTCTTCTGGTTGCTGATTTATGTCTTCTGGTTGCTGATTTATGTCTTCTGGTTGCTGATTTATGTCTTCTGGTTGCTCATTTATGTCTTCTGGTTGCTGATTTATGTCTTCTGGTTGCTGATTTATGTCTTCTGGTTGCTGATTTCTGTCTTCTGGCTGCTGCTTTCTGTCTTCTGGCTGCTGCTTTCTGTCTTCTGGCTGCTGCTTTCTGTCTTCTGGTTGCTGCTTTCTGTCTTCTGGTTGCTGCTTTCTGTCTTCTGGTTGCTGATTTCTGTCTTCTGGCTGCTGCTTTGTGTCTTCTGGTTGCTGATTTCTGTCTTCTGCTGCTTGTGCTTTGTTTCTGTCTGGTTGCTTTCTGGTTCTGGCTGATTTCTGTCTTCTGGTTGCTGATTTCTGTCTTCTGGTTGCTGATTTCTGTCTTCTGGTTGCTGATTTCTGTCTTCTGGTGGTTGCTGATTTCTGTCTTCTGGTTGCTGATTTCTGTCTTCTGGTCTGATTTCTGGCTGCTGGTGATGATTTCTGTCTTCTGGTTGCTGATTTCTGTCTTCTGGTTGCTGCTTTCTGTCTTCTGGTTGCTGCTTTCTGTCTTCTGGTTGCTGATTTATGTCTTCTGGTTGCTGATTTATGTCTTCTGGTTGCTGATTTATGTCTTCTGGTTGATGATTTATGTCTTCTGGTTGCTGATTTCTGTCTTCTGGTTGCTGATTTCTGTCTTCTGGTTGCTGATTTCTGTCTTCTGGTTGCTGATTTCTGTCTTCTGGTTACTGATTTATGTCTTCTGGTTACTGATTTATGTCTTCTGGTTGCTGCTTTCTGTCTTCTGGTTGCTGATTTCTGTCTTCTGGTTGCTGATTTATGTCTTCTGGTTGCTGATTTATGTCTTCTGGTTGCTGATTTATGTCTTCTGGTTGCTGATTTATGTCTTCTGGTTGCTGATTTATGTCTTCTGGTTGCTGATTTATGTCTTCTGGTTGCTGATTTCTGTCTTCTGGTTGCTGATTTATGTCTTCTGGTTGCTGATTTATGTCTTCTGGTTGCTGATTTATGTCTTCTGGTTGCTGATTTCTGTCTTCTGGTTGCTGATTTCTGTCTTCTGGTTGCTGATTTATGTCTTCTGGTTACTGATTTCTGTCTTCTGGTTACTGATTTATGTCTTCTGGTTGCTGATTTCTGTCTTCTGGTTACTGATTTATGTCTTCTGGTTGCTGATTTATGTCTTCTGGTTGCTGATTTATGTCTTCTGGTTACTGATTTATGTCTTCTGGTTACTGATTTATGTCTTCTGGTTACTGATTTATGTCTTCTGGTTGCTGATTTATGTCTTCTGGTTACTGATTTATGTCTTCTGGTTACTGATTTATGTCTTCTGGTTGCTGATTTATGTCTTCTGGTTGCTGATTTATGTCTTCTGGTTGCTGATTTATGTCTTCTGGTTGCTGATTTATGTCTTCTGGTTGCTGATTTCTGTCTTCTGGTTGCTGATTTATGTCTTCTGGTTACTGATTTATGTCTTCTGGTTACTGATTTATGTCTTCTGGTTGCTGATTTCTGTCTTCTGGCTGCTGATTTCTGTCTTCTGGTTGCTGATTTCTGTCTTCTGGCTGCTGATTTCTGTCTTCTGGCTGCTGATTTCTGTCTTCTGGTTGCTGATTTCTGTCTTCTGGTTGCTGATTTCTGTCTTCTGGTTGCTGATTTCTGTCTTCTGGTTGCTGATTTATGTCTTCTGGTTGCTGATTTCTGTCTTCTGGTTGCTGATTTATGTCTTCTGGTTGCTGATTTATGTCTTCTGGTTGCTGATTTATGTCTTCTGGTTGCTGATTTATGTCTTCTGGTTGCTGATTTCTGTCTTCTGGTTGCTGATTTATGTCTTCTGGTTACTGATTTATGTCTTCTGGTTGCTGATTTATGTCTTCTGGTTGCTGATTTATGTCTTCTGGTTACTGATTTATGTCTTCTGGTTTCTGATTCTGGTGTCTTTCTGGTTGCTGATTTATGTCTTCTGGTTACTGATTTTCTATGTCTTCTGGTCTGGCTGATTTATGTCTTCTGGTTGGTTGCTGATTTTCTGTCTTCTGGTTGCTGATTTCTGTCTTCTGGTTGCTGATTTATGTCTTCTGGTTGCTGATTTATGTCTTCTGGTTACTGATTTCTTCTCTGTCTTGCTCTTCTGGTTGCTGATTTATGTCTTCTGGTTGCTGATTTATGTCTTCTGGTTACTGATTTATGTCTTCTGGTTGCTGATTTATGTCTTCTGGTTACTGATTTATGTCTTCTGGTTACTGATTTATGTCTTCTGGTTACTGATTTATGTCTTCTGGTTGCTGATTTCTGTCTTCTGGTTGCTGATTTATGTCTTCTGGTTGCTGATTTCTGTCTTCTGGCTGCTGATTTCTGTCTTCTGGCTGCTGATTTCTGTCTTCTGGTTGCTGATTTATGTCTTCTGGTTGCTGATTTCTGTCTTCTGGTTGCTGATTTCTGTCTTCTGGTTGCTGATTTCTGTCTTCTGGTTGCTGATTTCTGTCTTCTGGTTGCTGATTTATGTCTTCTGGTTGCTGATTTATGTCTTCTGGTTGCTGATTTCTGTCTTCTGGTTGCTGATTTATGTCTTCAGGTTGCTGATTTATGTCTTCTGGTAGCTGATTTGTGTCTTCTGGTAGCTGATTTATGTCTTCTGGTTGCTGATTTATGAATTCGTTTTGGTGATTTAAGTTCATATTTTAGGCTTTACCTCTTAGCTGTACTAGCTGTCATTATATTTTCACCTTTGACTCTTCGTATTGTAAGCTCACAGCCCACCCATGCATTCACCCATCCTCCCATCAATCCAGACAGACAGACAGACAGAAAGACAGACAGACAGACAGACAGACAGACAGACAGACAGACAGACAGACAGACAGACAGACAGACAGACAGACAGACAGACAGACAGACAGACAGACAGACAGACAGACAGACAGACAGACAGACAGACAGACAGACAGACAGACAGGCAGGCAGGCAGGCAGGCAGGCAGGCAGACAGACAGACAGACAGACAGACAGACAGACAGACAGACAGGCAGGCAGGCAGGCAGGCAGGCAGGCAGGCAGGCAGACAGACAGACAGACAGACAGACAGACAGACAGACAGACAGACAGACAGACAGACAGACAGATAGATAGATAGACAGACAGACAGACAGGCAGGCAGGCAGGCAGGCGGACAGACAGATTCAATTAACGAACTCTAATAGATTGTGGTATAGTTTTAACTCTGGTCACTTCTGTTAATCAATAATCAAATGATAAAAAAAATACAATAATGACAATTATAACAATTAAGAGATATAACTCGAATAGTGTTTTCTTTATTTACTTCGCTCCTCCCCTTCGTCTAGCTCTCACTGTGATTCCTATTATGTTTCTCCGCATTAGCGTCTCCCTTTTTTTTTCTCTGGTACCATTCTTCATCTGGAAATAGCTGTTTTCCTGGTGGCCCATTGTCTCCCCCCTCGCCCTGTCTCTGTTGCCTCCCATTGTCTCTTCCCTCGCCCTGTCTCTCTTGCCTCCCATTGTCTCTTCCCTCGCCCTGTCTCTGTTGCCTCCCATTGTCTCGCCCTGTCTCTGTTGCCTCCCATTGTCTCTCCCCTCGCCCTGTCTCTCTTGCCTCCCATTGTCTCTTCCCTCGCCCTGTCTCTGTTGCCTCCCATTGTCTCTGTTGCCTCCCATTGTCTCTCCCCTCGCCCTGTCTCTGTTGCCTCCCCCCCCCTCGCCCTGTCTCTGTTGCCTCCCCCCTCGCCCTGTCTCTATTGCCTCCCCGCTCGCCCTGTCTCTGTTGCCTCCCATTGTCTTCCTCCTCGCCCTGTCTCTGTTGCCTCCCATTGTCTTTCTCCTCGCCCTGTCTCTCTTGCCTCCCATTGTCTCTTCCCTCGCCCTGTCTCTGTTGCCTCCCATTGTCTCGCCCTGTCTCTGTTGCCTCCCATTGTCTCTCCCCTCGCCCTGTCTCTCTTGCCTCCCATTGTCTCTTCCCTCGCCCTGTCTCTGTTGCCTCCCATTGTGTCTGTTGCCTCCCATTGTCTCTCCCCTCGCCCTGTCTCTGTTGCCCTCCCCCCCTCGTCGCCCTGTCTCTGGGGGGTTGCCTCCCCCCTCGCCCTGTCTCTATTGCCTCCCCGCTCGCCCTGTCTCTGTTGCCTCCCATTGTCTTCCTCCTCGCCCTGTCTCTGTTGCCTCCCATTGTCTTCCTCCTCGCCCTGTCTCTGTTGCTTCCCATTGCCTCCCCGCTCGCCCTGTCTCTGTTGCTTCCTATTGCCTCCCCGCTCGCCCTGTCTCTGTTCCCTCCTATTGTCTCCCCCTCCCCTCGCCCTGTCTCTGTTGCCTTCCATTGTCTTCCCGCTCGCACTGTCTCTGTTGCCTCCCATTGTCTTCCCGCTCTCCCTGTCTCTGTTGCCTCCCACTGTCTTCCCCCCCCCCCTCCTCGCCCCGTCTCTGTTGCCTGAATCTGGCTCTGAAACTCCCTAAGAACGTACTTCTTATCTCTCACCCCTGAAGCGACTCACCTACTCTCTATGTGTCCTCTTCCGTTTCCACATGGCGGATGTGTAACCGTGTACTCTCTCTCCTTTAATCCCTGTTTTTTTTTTTGTCTTCTTTCATGCATGTGAGTACTTGTGTGTTCTCCCCTCTCTCTCTCTCTCCTTTAATCACTACTTCTTCTGTCCTATGTCATCCTGTCTGCAGTCCCAATGATCGTCTCCCTTTATGGGTGTGCACTTGTGTATGCTCTCTCTCTCGCTCTCTCTCTCTCTCTCTCTCTCTCTCTCTCTCTCTCTCTCTCTCTCTTATTTAATCCCTGTTTCTTCTGTCCTATGTCATCCTGTCTGCATTGTCCCAGTGATCATCTCCCTTTATGGGTGTGCACTTGTGTATGCTCTCTCTCTCTCTCTCTCTCTCTCTCTCTCTCTCTCTCTCTCTCTCTCTCTTATTTAATCCCTGTTTCTTCTGTCCTATGTCATCCTGTCTGCATTGTCCCAGTGATTGTCTCCCTTTATGCGTGTGCAATTGTATATTCTCTCGCTCATTCCAAGACCTTTCTACCCTCTGCCCTTATGTCATCTTCTCTCGTCCTGTATGACCGCCTCTCTCCTTGCATACATCTCCATCTCTCTGTCTATCTATATTTGCCCCCTCCCCCTACCCGCCTTTTTGCATAGCGTCTCTATACAAATACCTCAGGCTTATGTCTCTCCACCTGTCTCTATCTCTAGCTATTTCTCACTCACTATCTATGAACATTACAGTTGTTTTCTTTTTCTGCAACACGCTGCTAATGACAAGCCATTAATTACACATAAACACAATCAGATATTTATTTGATGGATATATAAGAAATTATATATATATATATATGTATAATATATATATATATATATATATATATATATATATATATATATATATATATATATATACACACACAAACACACACATGCATACACACAAACGTACATACATACATATATACATTTAAAACATCAAAAGTCACTCGTCTTTTTGTGGTGAATGTAAAACAACTACAACTGCCAAAAATGCTGGAGTTCATCCTGCAACGTCTTGTTTACTGCGAAATCGCCCGTAGCTTGGGACGAAACTGGCGTCCCCGGAATTACCAAGTGCGTTCTTAACCCCCAAGCCACAGACAAGGTGACCTTATTGAGAGGTTAAGAATCTATGTCATACTATTTGTGACCTTCCCCATCTTCAGCAGCCAGG